CCCCAAAACCCCAAAACCCCAAAACCCCATCATGAATAATTTTGAAAGTAATAACATTTATTGTATTTCTAAAATTATAAAAATCATAAGTAAAAATGATAAAAATTACAGCTCATTATCTTATTGTCCTCCTCATTAATATACTATTTTAATAATTTTCGAATGAGAAATCACTTCGCCTCTTTTTCAATAGCCAAAAAGTAATCACCAGAATCTTTAATCATTACCGTTTAGATTGGTAAAGATAGTTTCTTTGACCTGCAGTTTGAAAGTGAGATGAATTCAAAGATATCAGGTTACACTATAATAAAGCAGGATCTGATTATAAGTTCAACAGAGAGCTCAGTCAATGATCGCTTTGATTTCTTTTTCCTAGAGAACGACGAGGAGAAGCTATGCTACAAAGAGGCTATCAAAGACAAAAATTGGAGTAAAGAGTGTGCTTTTCTGAATGATAGGAAAAGAAAGACTTTCTTGAATAAAAAGGACTTTATCTACAAGTTTGAAGTAGACCATCTGCTTGATTTTGAATTCAACAACACTATGATCATAATCGACAACTCACCCTTCCCCTACAATAAAACTACAAGTAAGTCATTATAAATGATAATTGAATTGCCTAGGCGAGGGAGCAATCGAAGTATCAATAATGAAGGAAAACATTTACACAAGCTCGATGAATTACTACACAGCTAGTTACTGCTTAATCTTGGTCTTCTCCATGCTCTTCATCATTCTGCTGGGAACGCTAGTCAAGTTTTATCGAGTCAATGTGTCGCTCAAGCGAGACGTTGAATAGTTCAAAACATCCTTTCAGATTAAGACCATGCCTCAGAGTTTCATAGCTCACTTTTCGGTGCTTGATAAGACTGCTAGATTTCCAACTCTCGATGGGTCTAGATATTAATCAAAGAATAAAAAATCTAGCAACAGTAAAACTTTGAAAGTAAGTAATGGAAGTAATAATAGTAGCAGAAAGCAAAGTAAAAATAATAGCAACCTATCTTCTTAAAATCCCACCCCAACAAACCAGCAAACAAAAATATTAAATGGCAAAAAAAATAAAAGAGATAGCATTAGTGAAATAGAAAGCCATATAAATAGCAATGATATCAGTCATATTGAAAATGGGAAAAACAGCATTAATGATATAAGCAAAATTGGTGAAAATAATAGTGAATATCTTATTGGAGTTAGCTCAAATAGCCGAAATTTTAATAAATCTATTTTCAATAACTCAAATACTTTTAATAAGAAAGCTATTAATAGGATAAACTCTACTAGAATATAGGAGGATAGTGAGTATTAAAGAAGAGATTTTGGGTAATCAAGGATTTCATAGGATCTTAGGAAGCATGAAGGTTAATACAAGCTAAATAGCTTTAATGGGTAATAAATTTTTATTCTTAATTTTAATAGTATGCTAAGGACAGGCGGCTCAAAGAAATTGTTATCGAAAGAAAATTAACTTATAAGGCACAAGGATAGAATAAATTCCTCAATGATATCAGAGAATTCAATCAAGAAGATAGAATGGAACAGCGACTCTGACTTTGAAAATTCTAGTGATGAGGATTTATCGAGTAAAAAGTGATCAGCTAATATAAATTTCAGTTATGGAATATCAAAGTAATTATGATCAATCAATCAATCATCTTGAATAGTTATTAGCAATCTAGCTAAAGTTTTATTATCAGCCGATTAATATAATTATATTTATCTTTAGTTATCTATTCCATTTCTTATTTAGAAAGCGGGGTTTTGGGGTTTTGGGG